GGTTTTTCGGGCTTTTAGGACGTCGCGGAAAATATTTTTTTTCCGGCTAACCAGTTTGTTTGGCAGATGGATGGGGTCGCATGTAAGAAGATTCCAGTTACGTTTATTTCTTTCTCTATCCCAAAAACAATACTTTTTTCTAATTCAATTGCAATTATACGGTAAGTTCTTCCAAAAACTCGATTAAAAGCGGGAAGAAATATCAGCAATGGCTAAACAACATACAAATTTCAAAAATGTAATTAAATTCGACTCGAGAAGAACAGTATACCTGGTACAATTTAGGGAAAAACTAGCTTAAAAACGTATAAAAGCTGAATTAGATAAATTAGGAAGCAACAATGTCAATGAGAAAAACGAACAGAAAACGGAAACAGAAAAAATTGAGAAATAAATTGTGGATATTTTCGAGAGCATGCAAAATGCTGATAATTTCAGTCAGTCAAATTGGATACAAAAAAAAATTCGAAAACAAAGTTTCGTTTTCGCCTTGTTCAATATGTAGTTTTAATTGTGAAAGAGCGAATGTGGTGGTTGCTTCGGGCGACACACCCCTGAAGATGCAAGCCAATCGTGTTTGTGAGACGTCGGTAAGAAATTCGTGACGACTTAAATGAGCGAAAAACTCGTCAGTGAGAAAATTTCTGATTTTTTCAACGGTAACTGAAGCTGAAGCAAATCACCGGCGCAGTAACTCGATTCCGTTGCTGGGAAAATGTTGATGATCTGTTTTCCTTAATTGTTTTCACATTTATTTTAACGTCAGTGTTCAGGCACTTTCTGCGAAAAATTAACAAACAAATTTTACTAGAACACTTGCGTCCTCGTCGCTTTGCAAACATTTTTGAAATCCGTTTCCAGCTTCGAATTTTGCACAAAAAACAAATATTTTTCATCAAAAAACGATCAGAATCAGCGAGGTAATAATACATTATTTGGAAAACTAGTCACCCCCATCCCTCTGGAGACTGTAGAGTTTGTTAAAAAAATTGTGGTCTCTTAGTTTTGACCGGTTTTTCCTTGCTTTACTTTCTACACAAAAACGCTCTATTTTTAGGAATTTCATTTAAAAATACTAACAATCTTTCTTTTACGCGACAGTTAAAAATTACATTTTTTAATGTCGAATTCGGGACGAAAACGAAAATAAATTTGTCTCGTTTTTTTCCGAAAATCATTAAGGTTTTCTGAAAAACCGATCACAAAACTAAAAGTTTTTAATCAAAAGCGCAAAAAAGACAAGGACAAAAATTCTCCTCATTCATCGTTTTCTCGGGAATTCCAGAAAACCCTTTTCAGCTTCGAATTTGCCACAAAAATTAGATAATTTTATTTAGTTTTTTAGCGATATAGTAATTACGATTATATTGAAAAAAAACGACAAGCGAGCAAAAGTTTATAAATTTTTTTTTCGAAATTTCGCCACTCTCATCGCTCTGAAGATTCTTAGTTTCTTTAAAATTTTAGGCCTTTCTAGTTTCAGCAAATATTTTATCAAGCGATTCTTTCTACGCAAAAAAAAAGGATTGGTTTTTCGCTTTACTTTAAAATACTGACAGTATTCAGGTATTTTCGGTGAAAAATCATAAAATAAATTTTATTGGAACACTCGCCTCCTTAACAGCTTTGTAA